GACAGCTTTTAGCATTGTTGCTTTTTTACACCGCCTTGATGATTATGCCATAACGAGTAAAACAACTAAAACTGTATATAAAAAAAGAACAGGACCAATAGTTCAATAACATACTGCAATTCTCATTAGATAAATGAACACAATGACAAAAGAACTTGTTCGTATGTGGGGATATAAGAAATGATTAAAGCAGGTCACATTGAAATTAAATACTTCAAAAAAAAATTTAAAAAAATCAGCAGGATCAACTGCTTGGAGCTCTTAGAATCCCTTAAAGTATGTAGACACTTCCTTTGGTCTCCTCCCTCCACTCGATAGCGCCGTAAATGTAGAAATAGGATATCAATTTACTCAATCAATGAACTTGTTTATTGGTCCGCAACAAGAATAATAGGCACAAGAATATAGGTAGGCAAAGTTGTGAGTGGGAACTTGCATTCAAGCTTTAGGCTTGAGGGCCTTGACAGTCTCCCAGGTGAAGTCAGCGTCATCACGGCCGAAGTGACCATAAGCAGCAGTCTTCTGGTACCTGAAGTTGCCTCCTCTCTTCAAGTCAAGGTTAATTGACATCATTCCAGGCCTGAAGTCAAAGTTCTCCTTGATCAGAACCAAAATATCCTTGTCTGGAATGGTTCCGGTTTTGTAAGTGTCAACAAACACGGAAAGTGGTTCTGCGACACCAATAGCATAAGAAACCTGGACAATGCAGCGGCGTGCAAGTCCTGCAGCGACCACACTCTTTGCTGCCTGTCTCACAATGTAAGCACCACTCCTGTCCACCTTGGTAGGATCTTTTCCTGAGAAGGCACCTCCACCGTGAGCACCCCAACCTCCATAAGTGTCGATGATGATTTTCCTGCCAGTGAGTCCAGCGTCTCCATGTGGACCACCAATCACAAAACGACCTGATGGGTTGAGGTGGAAGATGGTGTTGTCATCAAGGTACTGAGCTGGGATCACGGGCATGATCACATGCTCTTTCAAGTCCTTGGCAATCTGATCATTTGTGACAGTTTCATCATGTTGAGTTGAGATGAGAACGGTGTGAACTCTAATAGGGACCATGGCACCATTGTCGTTCTTGTACTCAACTGTAACTTGTGTCTTGCCATCAGGTCTGAGCCATGGGCAAGTCTTGTTCTTCCTCACTTCGGTAAGCTTGGCACCAAGCTTTGTAGCCAAAACATGAGTAAGGGGCATGAGTTCAGGAGTTTCATCTGTGGCATAACCAAACATGTGACCTTGGTCACCAGCTCCAATTTCTTCTGGTTTCTTGGTAAGATGACCATGGACTCCCTGGGCAATATCAGGGCTCTGCTGCTCAATGTTGACAAGGACTTTGCAGTGGTCAGCATCAAGACCAACATCAGCTGAGGTGAACCCAATGCCTCTGCAGGTGTCACGTACTATCTTCTCATAGTCCACCTTGGCCTTGGTTGTGATCTCTCCAAAGACCATGACCATGTTTGTCTTTGTGCAGGTTTCACATGCAACCTTGCTCTCTGGGTCTTGTTCTAGGCAAGCATCAAGAATGGCATCTGAAACCTGGTCACAAAGCTTATCGGGATGTCCTTCGTTAACTGACTCTGAGGTGAACAAGAAAGTCTCCATATCTAGCTGAAAAGATCAAGAAAATATGTCATCAGTTCTATCTCAAATATTCACGGGAAAATGTGGCAAGTCGCTCATAAGCATGTCAAGCCATAAAATACCATCATATTAAGACATTTCGTTGAATTCAAAGAGTTCTAGTGTTAACATTGGCAAAAAAAAAATGTCGGGTACATCACACACAATTCTCTCTGAAATTACACAATGCTTCAACATTTGGTCCACACAATCTCATTATACAAACTAAAGACGCCACATATTCCCAAAAATTGCCCTATTTTCTCCCATTTAAAAGTTTTCAAATCCTAGTTACTTCACTCGATCTAGGTTCTCACGATCCTAAGAAAATTTGATTGATTCCATTTTAAACACACAACACCGCAATATTTCACCACTAAATCATCATTTTCCATCATTAGACTCCTCAAACAACCAAATCCATGAGCCAAAAGAAACATATTAGTCACCCTGTGCAGGGCAACCAGCTTAGCAATGAGATCTACGTAATCTTCATATACAACAATAATACAATATGACAATTAGAGTTAATTTTGCTCAATGTCATGCAAATTAACAAAAATTCCTAGTTTATTAACGAGATCTAGATACTACATTAAGCGAAATCAGGAACGTCGTAATTAACCAAAGGTCTCAAGTTCAAGCATGTGAATCCAGATTAGTCGAACCTCAAAGCGGATAAAAACACACATATATAACATCAAAATGAGATATCATAACATCATTTTGAAACGAATCAACCAAAACATGCATAAATTTACCAGATCTATAATCTAATGAAGCAAAAACAAAGCATAAAACAGTTAAATCAGCATAATTTATGAAGAAAACGAACCTGAGAATGGAAAAGAAAGCTCTAGATCTGTAGAAGGAAGAAGAAAATGAGAGAGGAATTGAGACAGAGAAATGATGTGCGTTTAATGAAAAGTTTAAGGGGAGTATTTATAGAAGCTGAAATGTAGGAGAAAAAGTGGGGGCTAACGAATGACTCGCTCTATTTCTTCTCACTTTCCAATAAGTTTTTTTTTTTTTTTTTACCAACCAATATTTGGCTTCACCAAACACAAGTGGGGACGTTTGGGAGGGGATTTTTACTTATTTTAATAAGTTTTCGATTCGAACGTTTTTGTAATGTTTTTATTTGAGCCGTATATGAAAAATAGTTTTTTTTTCTTCGGAGGTAGACTCTAAGGATAAGATCTACATATCAATATTATCTTCTTTAAATTTTAGTTGTGGGACTATATTGATATACTGTTGTAGTGATTTTAGTTTCTTAAACATCAATGAATTTTAATTATGATTGTTGAAGTTTTTGGATTAAATATATGTAATTTTGATTCTTCTGCTTATGAATCTTCAAAGAATTAACTCATTTTATATCTCAAAGTAGGAATAAGATCTGCATATATATTATTCTCTTCGAAATCTACTTGTGGAATTATAGTGATATGTTGTTGTTGTAACAATTTTAGTTACTTAAACATCAACAAATTTTAGTTTTGATCGTTGAGGTTATTAATAAAGTATATTTAACTTTTAATTAATTGATATGTATACTTTTGATTCCTCTGCTTATGAATCTTCACAAAGTTAATGAATTCTTAAATGCTAAATTATTTAATTATTAATGTGTAATTAAAAGGTTTTTTTCTTTAATATTAAGATTAACTAAAAAGAGAAATAAAACTAACCGTCCATATAAATCATCGTAACATGAATTTTATCAATAGGTTCTCTTATTTATATTTTATCATTTCTTCGAAATTGTTTTCTCGCATGATAAAAGAGTCAGATTATAGCACGACCCACTATTTCAATAAACCAATAAAAGCTCATTGAATTAAATAGTTATAAAAAATTATTTTCTTGAAAATTCTCGAAATAACATACTATTTTAGTTGGGTGTGTCCAATATATAAGTTGTCTAGTGGTAAGTGTTTTTTATTTTTAATTTGAAATTTTAAATCTTAAATTATTTTTATTAGAAAGCGTTTAACCTCAATATTAAATTTTTTGACGTAAATCCAAATTTTATCGAACACTAATATGGATATCAGAAATTGTTCATAGGTCTATCACACCAAATTTCCTACCCCTTTGAATTTTAAATGACCACTTACCAATCATGAAAGTGCAGCTATACTTCTATTATTTCTTTTAAGGAAAAGAATTTGGTGAAGTTGGTGAGAGTGTGAGATGTTCTTTTGGCTTGATGCATTGCAAATCTTGTACCTTGTGAATCAAGAATTGTATATTTTGTTAAAAAGTCATTGAATTATTAGTAACTTGAGCCTTTTCAATCCACCTTAAAATGGTTGTTAGATGTCACTTCATTTTGACAAACTACTTGGTGAGTTGTGCCACTTCATTTTCTTTTTGTTCCCACCAACTATGTGGTTGTTGACTATTTGTTTAAACTTAGATATATAAAGTGTACATGATGTGGGTGGATTTTAGTCAATGTTTTTATTATATGAAAAAAATCACCTACACATCAAAGATATATATTATCCAGCTAATCATGGTTAAGGCATGGAGTTGGATGTTTTTTTTTTTTTTTAACACTAAATGTCAATAAATAAAAGATGAATAGCTCCGAAAAAGGAATCTATTAATTTGATTGGATTGTAGGTATGATGATTTACTTTACAAGTGAGATTTAGAGATTTTTTGATAAAACATGATTTATTAGTTCGCCTAAAGTCGTAGTGACATAATTCTTCATCGGTAAGCTATTAAAGATTTTATTCTCAAGATGAAAAGAATTGACTTTTTGAAAAAATGAAAATTATTATAAAAGAAAGGAGTCTTGAACTCTCAGATGATTAGACTCTTCTTCAGACTCTACTCGTCCTTACACAACTCTGTGTCATAAAGAATTTCTTTTTTATTAAGATACAAGTATAATTAACCATGCATTTTGATATAATATTATTAATGAAATAATTATTTATTTATTTAATTCAATGAAATATTACATTAAGTAGATCATTTTATCATATATATATTATATATCTTCAGCTTAATCAAACACCATCTTATAAAATAAAACGAAGAGAATATTTCATTTAATTCTCAAATATGGGTGAAACCGTGAAGGAGATCGCTTAATTTTCGAAACTTTGCAATTTGCATTTGAAAAGACTAAAGTGTGTTTACATTTTACAATAATGTAGATACCAATATCTAACAAAAGTGTCTTATGCTCTTGTCAATTGACTCATTTCTTGCCCAATTTTTACAAGTCTTTAGATGGTACTCTTTCCGTTTCATTTTACCTGTCCATTTTATCAAATCGAGAATATTTTATTTGCATGCTATCCTTAATATTAAATGTAACTATATAAAATAATAACAGACAAATTTAAAATTTCAAAACATCATTAAGAAGATTAAATTGTTGAAATACACCTCTAATTAAAATTTTCTAATTAAGAGATGTATCGTGTCAGGATCAACAGAGACCAATAATATGAAACGGAGCAAGTACAAGCAAAAGAGGGTTTGTAATATGAAGAAGGTGAAGCATTACAACAACAACAATAACAATACCCCATGTAGTCCCACAAAGTTGGATATGAAAAAAGTAGAGTGTATACATGCAGACTATACCCTAGTACCGCAAAGGTAGAAAGGTTGTTTCAGATAGGCCCTCGCCAGTCGTCAAGTTGAAACTTTAAGACGTACAATAATTCATACACCACAATAAGCCTTGAGAACATTGGGGCCAGCTTCCCGTCCAGCTTCTGTACCAAAAAACTCAAAATAACCAAGCATGTCATATGGCTTGAAGAGTAAAGGGTGTTCTTCATCCACGAGTTCTTTTGGGGCCTTTATGGTGCAATCTGTTTTTGGATCTGCAAATAACTGAATGGAGAACCTATCATTTTCTCCAGCCATCGTTACCCTATGGAGAGGAGAATGCAATCGACCATTTGTCCATGCCTGTATATATTTGCACAATTATGTTAATCTAACACAAAGAGCTTAACTTCATGATTAATACCATGTCCCCAGGAATAGTATGCAAGCCTATCTTTGGTTCTATTGTTACATAACCAAAAAAAGGAAGATGTAGTATGTGGACATCGAGACAATAGCATCAATTGCAATTGACTCGATGTCTACATATACAACAACATATCCAGTAGGGTCTAGGAGGGTAGAGTGTACGCAAATTTTACCCCTATCTTAGAAGTTACAAGTAGAGAAGTTGTTTCAACTAAGACCCCCGACTCAAGGAAAAACAGTCCAAAGCAGTCTTACCATGAAGGAATCACCAGACAGAACAACGAACGAATTCGATGAAATATCAACATCAATCCATTCTCCATTTTTCTTGAGAATTTGCAATCCATTTACTTGATTTTGTGATATTATGGTCAAGAAGTTACCATCAGTATGGTCACCAATTCCAAGTTTATTCCCCATATCTTCATCTTGAGTTGCATTGTATTTGGTTAATCGCAATAGGAAAGAGGTGAGATCCAAGAATTCATCAATGTAATTTTGTAGTCCTAGACTCTCCAAAACCATCCTTTTCACCATCTCATCCAATTCCACAAGTGGCTTTGAGTAAGACTTTACTACCTTGCTGCAAAACAAGCAAATGGGGACACATGAGTCCACTTGTCAAGTAATAAGAGAGCATCACATAATTAATTGTTTGTTATGTGAGACATAGAATAAATTTATCATTTAGAGTGTGTTTGGCATGTATGATGAAGAGATTCAAGATAAGGTGGGAGTACTGACCCTATGGTGGACAGGATGCAGGAAGGGAGGTTGAGATGATTTGGACATGTGTAGATGAGATGCGTGAAATGTTGACTATGGTGAGCATGAGGACAGGAAGAGATAGGCATAAGAAGTCTTTGGAGAGAGGTGATTAGGCAGGACATGATGGTGCAAGAACTTATCAAAGACGACATGACACTTGATAGTTAGGTGTGGATGTCGAGAATCAGGGTAGAGGGATAGTAGGTTGTTGAGCATTTTTTTTTTTTTTGGTCTAGGAGTATTGGTTTCATTTTTACTTTTGCTTATTCTTAAATCTCTAATATCACCTGTTTGTTTCTTCCATTTGTTTATCTTATTATCTTGTTTTTGTTACTGCTTGTTATTACTACTGCCTTTTCATTTCTTTTTTAGCCGAAGGTCTATAAAAAATAACCTCCTTACACTTACAACTTACAAGGTAGCTAGGGGTAAGGTTTAAGTACGCCTAAAGAGGTAGCATTCAACATAAAATCACACCTAAAGAGTTACCAAAAAAAAAAAAAAAAACGACAAATACAAAATCTTAAAAGAAGTAACATACCAAAACTAAGGATTTCCCTCAGGCCAAAAGATATTAGCAAAAGTTTCAACAATTTCAAGTTGAAGCAAGTCATCAATGCATACACTCTCATACAATGGTAGTGTTGGAAGCTTCCCTATGTAGCCATTAAATGGCAATTTCTTTGACAAATTTTTCATTTTGGTCTCCAATGGAAATTCAAAGATCTCTTTTGATCTACCAAACATGGCTTCTAAAGTTTCATTTCTAAGCTTATCATATGTTGCTTCAAAGCAACCATACTCTTGCAAGGCTTGAAAAACTTGAGATTTTGTGGAATCCCATTGTATAGTACCTGGTTTTAGCTCTGGCTTGCAAAAATCTATGGTAGGAACCTTCATTTCATTAGAATTAAGAAGTCAACAATATAAAAAAAGGAAATAGAAGATATATTACAATAATTGGTTATATATTACTATTGTTTTTGAATTGTCGAGTATTCTTTGTAGAAAAAACTAGATCTGACATAAAAATTGATGAAATTATCGAGTACTGTGTCCATGAAAGATTTTATAGATTGTTTATATTATCAAAAATGATCCACATTTCAGCATATATTTCAATCCAACTCATTTCATTCCACTTAACTTCAATTCACTAACTCAGTCCGTTTTGACCCGCTTTTTTTTTTCTTTTCAAGTTTCTGAATTGTAGGATTGCTATATTTGGTGTATACAATGGAAATATGTAAACAGGCTCACAATTGATGAACATGTCATGATAGCCAAAGTAATTCAACTTAACTTTTTATTGACAGGTAATTTGTTATTCTTGAGGTGCCCACTTTACAATTCAGAATGATGGATGGACTAACAACTAGTGTACATAGATTAAGTTACACATTCCAATTTTGTACAGAAGAATGACAATAGTATTTACAAATGCACAAACAAAGGCTATGGAGCTTAGATATTTATCTACAGGAAGTCCCATCGCCAGAAAACTTTATCTACAATGCCTCCACCGTTTCGAACTGCAAGGTGGATCCTTTCAGACGCAGGAGGAACCCCCCATAGTAGCGGTACTGCAACTGTCATAGTTAGCTTTTCCTGCATATCGCCCTTGCTGGCTTTCTCCGCAGAGACAATCTGCAGCACGAAAAGATAATTTGTCGAACCATTAGATAAGTTATGAAACTCTAATAAAGGAAATGATACTACCTGATCTGAAATTTCATACTGAATTACCAAAGAAAAGAGAACCTAAAAGTAAACCTACTTGATGTCAAAACAGCTTCAATTACCATCCACACTCTCAACGCTAATGATATTTGAGGCCTAACTAAGTTGACCTACGAGCCTATAATAACAGGTCTATAGGTCAAGATGATCAGAAAGGCAATGAATTCATAAAGAAAGTGTGCTAGGGAAGCTCGGGCTTGTCATGCAACACCAATCAAATTGGTCCATGAAAGGATCAGAACCGAAAAAGAGAGGTGATATAAGCGGATATACCTCCCCACCATGCTCAAGAACAGTGTCTTCCACAACGTCGCTCAACATCTCTATAGAACGGCAAAAACCAATTATGCATAGTTTCCTGCCCATGTCAAGGCCCTGGAATAATCACCAATTCAATTCCCATTAAGATGAACATAAACATTGGACATTAGAAGTTGACAAGTAGCAGAAGCTTTACATTAGTTGCTGCAATGTCAAAGAGAGCACCTAAACAGAGGCTTTGATTTGGATCCATGTAACTGCTCTCGCGAAATCGTTGAAGTCTTGGAGACACTTTCAATTTTCCCTGCTTCTTCTGCATTTCAAAGTAAAACATCAGACAAGATGTGCAAAATCAATTGCAAAAGCAATTATCTTTATTAAACAGAGCGGATGAAGTATGGAAAGAGGGAAGCAAGGAGAATGCCAAGAAGATATTATACAGGGTGTCTCATGAACTTCTACAAACTGCAGACTTATTCAGTTCTTACAAGTATATTGTGTATCTTCCAAACTAGAATAAACTAATACACCTAACAGTGTTTAGAGATTCAATGAATGAACTATATTCGCTACAAGAAAATAGAGGAATGAAATTCCATTATGCCTTTTTGCTCAGAATGGTGAGAAAAACATGCACAGAACTGATGGGGGGAGAATAAGCATACATCAGACGAAGATATCCGTCGCTTAACCATGTTTCCCCCAAGTTGAACGAGTCCATCAGCAGTGAACAGTGTGATTTTCTCCTCCTGTACCCACTGCATAGCTGCAAATAGCAGGGAAAACTTCAAAAACAAATAATTAAATTCAAACAAAAAGGTTAATCAACTATGACAGCCAAGAGACTATAAGTGAAGACATATCCTGATTAAATGATGAATTATATCTATAAATAAAACGGGGAGAAAGAAAAGTTTAAAAGAAATAAATGCTATAAAATATCAAACCAATAATTAACCTTTCATTTGAGTCAATGCGAGGGGACTTTTGGAGTCCGAAGTATGCATCATATATGAGGGGACGTACATCTTTTCAGAGTTTAATTTTTTGCTACTTAATTTACCAGATATAAGGAGGGAGAGATCATCAAATATATGGACCTGTCATAGAACAAGATTCTTGCACATAAACCAATGAAAGTGGTTGATGTTTCAGGACAGAGTTGGAGTCACCGGACCAATGTGATAAGATACACTTGAAACATTTCTGTCCCAAACGATCGTAACAGAAATGCCTCTCACCTGCTCTCTTTCATCTCACACAGAATCAAAAAAAGTCTGTAATAATAAAAATGTATCCAATCCTCGAGGAGGTCAGATGGGTAAGCTCCAATTTTGAAGCATTCTAGAAGTTACTTATATATGCTAATTGCTAAGCATCAAGTTTGGAGGCGCTACAAATATACAAAGCTTCATTCTCTCCTACAATTAGCTATGCATTTCTAACCTGACAAAATATTTTAATTCTTTTACAATAGGGATTCCATTACCAAAATTTAAGTTATCACTGTGTAAGATGGTGTCCCTAAAATGTCTTGACAAGATGCAAATAACAACATCAACCACAGTATACTTAACTCGAACTGTATTAGGATTTTCTGATTACGAAATCTGATTAAAATGTTTAACAAATTCTTTGCACAACTTAACACGCAATGCATTGCAGGTAAAGGGTTTTTTGAGAGTCATTCTTGAAGCATTTCAAACTACGGTCCACTTTAGCTTCCTCCAAAAAAGGGTGTATTGTCACAAAATCCACATTACGAAACTGTATAGAACATCTATTGACATACTAGTGCTTCATGGTCACTAAATTGAAATCCATGAATGAATATCTACTAACACAACTTCTCAATGAACTATCCTCTCACAGAAGATAATTGAACCTAAAACCGAATTTTCGCTCATTTCTTTAAGCAGAATGTCAATCGACTTTAATTTTGAGGTAGAACACCCTTGAAGAATCCCTAAGGAATCTAACATTAACAGACAAGGAAACTACTACAAGTACAATTCTTCCTGATATAAAAGAGTAACACTATTTCCTGATTAAAACATCTTTACACACACACACACACACAAAAACTAAACTATACAACAGTAAAAAAATAACTCTAAACAAAGATCGAATGCTATGTAAAATGGAAAAGGCAAACTATAAATAAAGAATGAACTTTTAGCAACTAATTTGTATGAAATCCTAAACAAGTGTCTCTGCCTACTGAAAACAAGAGCTACATTCAACGCATACATCAAAACAAAATCCTAATTGTATGCCTTTGCTAATCCTTCTAAGCTCAATTGTTGTTTCTACATTTCAGTATCTAAAATAAATGACAACACGGTGCACTAAGCTTCCGCTATGTAGTAGTCTGGGGAAGGACCGGACCACAAGTGTCTATTATATGCAGTCTTACCCTGCATTTAGGATAAGTGTTGAGATATACAGATCCTCTAGTTGTAAAGCCTAATTCGCCTTTAAACAAATAAATTAAGTAAAATATGAATCACATAGTTTAAAATCTCAAAATTTAAGGAGCAAAAGGAAAGAAAGAAAAAGTACTTTTAGGCTTTTGAATTTTAAACTAATACTATCTAGAGATTGACGAACATACAAGGATCACCGGAGTCAGACGATTCCCAAGGATAGGGTCCGAATGCATCATCGCTAAGGAAACCGCCGGAGCCGGACGCCTTCGCAACGAACTTGACGGAACGGATCGGCGATTGACTCGGAAAAAGAGTCAACTTACGGAAAGATGAACATGATGAACCGGACGAACAGGGAGGGTCTTTTAGGAGAGGAATAGAAGAGACGGCGGATAAACAGACGGCGGCGATTTCCGGCATTTTTTTTCCGGCGAGAGGTGAATTTTGAAGGAATGTGAAAGGGAAATGATCGGAATCTGAGAAAAGTAAAGCAAAAGAAAGGGGAAAATGGAAGAAAAGGAAAAGATAAAAAATTGACGCCACAGGAATTGAGGATGACACGTCGACAGGAAGACGGTTTAATTACGTTTTGGCGGTGGTTAATTAGGAGAATGAACCGGGTCTGAAACGGTTTGTCCTATTGTTTTTTTAAAAAAAATGGTCCTATTGCTTTTTATTACCATGAACAAAATATTTTTATTATGTCCTCCAATATAACACGTAATATTTGGAGGTCGGAGGTTTGAAGATAAATTTTGGAGTTCAAGGAATTCAGGTCGAACAAGATCAAAATGAAATATTTAGAGTGAATTTGGGGTGGTGTTGGATGAAGTGGGCGAGGAAGTAAATATAGATTATTTTGAAGAGTTTGTTGTTTAAGATAGTGTGGACATTGACGATGATGTCAGATATCACATTTGAATGGTATGGATGAAATGGAGGTTTGCCTCTTGAATCTTGTGTGATAAGAAGGTACCACATAAACTTAAAGGTAAGTTCTATAGAGTGGTGATTAGATTGTCCTTGTTGGATGGGGTGGAATATTGACCAGTTGAGAATTCAAATTTTCAAAAGATGCATGTTGCGACAAGATTAAGAATGAGATTATTCGAGAGGTGGGAGTGGATTATGTGGTAGACAATATGAAGGAAGTAAGACTGAGATGATTTGGACATGTGAAGAGGAGGTGCGTTAACACCCTAGTGAGGAGGTGCGAGAGGTTGGTTGTAGGGGTACGTGGAAGGGTAGAGTTGGACCGAAAAAATATGTAGGCTGAGGTGGTTAGACAAGACATGATGCAACTTCATATTACCAGAAGACATGACTTTAGATAAGGAGTGAAGGTCGTGTATTAGAATAGAAGGTTAGTAAGGGTAAAATGTTGTCTTGTCTACACCCGTGTAGTTCTAGCCATATGTTGTTTAATATTTTTTGATTATCACATCATTTTTGTTTTACTATTTCTTTCTTGTAGACTTTACAACACTTTCTTATTAACTGCTATGTTCTCATTGTTTTCTTCTTCTTGCACTTGGATTTGATACACTTGAGCTAAGGGTCTCTCATAAACTCTTTACTTCCATGAGGTAGTAGTAAAGTCTGCATACACTCTACCCATTATTGTTGTTGTCCTCAAATAATATGTAAGAAATTAAAATACACCCTTCATTCATATTTACTTGTTATATTTGAATAACTTGACATGCCCATTAAAAAAAAAAAGACTAATATGACTATTTTACCACATTACTTCTATTAATTGATATTTGATATGGTAAAATAATTTGTAGAATAGCTAATTAGTGACTTAGGGTAAAACATAATTTATTCTTTGTCCTTTTTCTTTTATACGTTAAAACTTAAAAGTAACAAATAAAAATAAATCAAATTTTGAAATAGTAGACAAGTTAATGAGGTTTTTGAACAACTTGTATTTTGGTGAGAATTTTTGGAAAGAACAAGGTTTTGCTTAGAAATGAATTGTGTTTGGATTTTATAATTTTTGGGCTTCACTATAGAATTGACAAATTTGTAAGAATGTTGTCTAACAATAGAAAAGGTTTATAATTTAGTTTGTTTCCATAATTGAAACTCTTACACAATAAATTAAATGAAAACAAACTATTATCCAAAAGTCTACCTTTCCTCTTATAGTTATTTCTTATTCGAACTATATTGTAGTTATTTAATTCCTTTTTAATTTGAGTTAACTTATGCTATTTATATTGCAAGATGACATTAGGTGATTGGACACTTTGCATCATACATGCAAAGTGTGGCTTTATACAATCAACCGGCCCATTTCAGCATCCAGTTGAGTGTGTGATGGAGGCCCAATCATTAGCTTGACACTACAAGAACAAAAACTAGTTGGGATCCAACTACTCCTCCGTCCTTAACCAGAGATTTTGAGTTTGGGTCCCTCTAGGTACGGAGTCACTTTTGTTGGATAGTGCTTTACCTTCCAATGTGAGACTTTCTGACGCAAATATCTGGATTTAATTATGCTCCAATATGGATATCTAACATCAGTCCGGAAACCCAAAAAAAAAACTAGTTAGGTATTATCTGACATATTTACCTGATTTCGGGAGACAAGAGGGATTGCTCGAATGGAAAGTATGTTTCACCTCCGATTCTAGGTTTATGGATTTGAATTACCATGAAACAAAACAAATTGTCCAAGGTAACTAAGAATGAAATAATGGGTGCTCAAAATATGACAAATACATGTTGCAAGAGAGTTATGTTCGACAACTAATCTTATACAACTTAGAATGAAATAACAGGTAGTACTATATATCAACCATTACAAGTATTAGAAGTAGATGGCCAGCTCACATAACTTCTATACAATCCTGTGCTTTCGTTTTCTTGTTCTAGCTATGGCTATTGCGAGTGGATGAGTTGGGATTTTTATGAAAGAATTTAAAATATAAAGATGTAATCTCACAATTTTTTTTTTTATAACGGTGTGTTTTTGAGTAGTATACTAGAAACTATATTTCAAAAATTGAAAGAAATTATAGTGTTTCAGCATAAACATTTCTAAAATTTGATCAAACACAAATTGTTGCTCAACTATTGAGAAAAGTATTTTTTTTAAAAATTGATTTGCCAACATAAACTATTACTCTTCGAAAGTACTTTTTGAAAAAAAATTCTCATTAAAAATATTTTTCCAAACAATCGAAATTAAAAAGTATGGGCAAACAAATTATTGATATAATGAAAATATGCAGTTGTGATTAAAATACATTTATTTAATATATGTATATAAATGATCCAATTGGAACCTAATATTAAAAAAAAGTCACGATTCACAATTCATAAACTAAAAATCTTAATTCGGCGTATTTACAAAAGATCGTACTCAACGCCTTCGATGAAGTTTCTCAATCTTCTTCTTAATTATTACTCTTCATCTTCCCATGAAATGAATCGAAGCTTTTTTCCTCATAGGTGGTAGGGGAATATCTTGCTAAATGCTAACTCATAAATATTCTACTACGACTATTATAACCACTACTCGGCTACAATTCCTTTATGGAGGGCCCCATTTATATGAAAAGAAATCAAATATCAAACTCTAATCAATAAAATGAAATATCAGACTCAGATAGCCAGTTAATTAAATAATTATGATTTTTCTTTTTTTTTTAATCTTTCCCTAGGATCTCTCATCCTTTACATTCCCTAAATTACTTGAAGGCTACTGCTTACCATTCGAACTACTCCCTTTTATCCGGATTTCCCAAACTCGTTTTGATCATATATATCCCTACATTTTTATTAGCTCTTAATTAGTTCATGTTGGGTTCAATTATATATTCTTGGCATCATTAATTGGTGTGCTTGTGTGAATTTAGGATTTCTTGGCGTGTATTTTTCATGTGTCAAAGTCACAAAGATTATATTTCCATCTGCTAAATTGAATAGGTGAACAAATAAGATACGTAAGGCCAACAAAAATATATTTATGTTGAGACAAATTAAATCTACAAATTCAAATGTAATGTAAATCAATGGTTGAAGGGGTAGTCCAATATATTGCGTGTGGATTTAGTTCACTACGAGAACTCAATAACTTTTACCCAAATTTTACATATGTATTGAAATATTAATTTAATTGTGAAGCTAATTTCTACAAAAGTTATGACCCTCCCAACATAACAAAACAAGGCAAGTTTTCTCCCGACACGTGAACAATTTAACAAAATAAATAGAACGGAAATTATATTAAAAATAATCCACTTTAAAAAATCTTGTGAAAAAAAAGGTGATTTTCATTCTTTCTTGTGTATTACGGCTAGCTATTTTTGAACATTTTCCTTAAAAAACAAAGGTAAAATTTAAACAACATAATTAAATAATCCTATTTAGGAAAATTACATAAATTTTACATATAATTGTAATACTCCCTCCGTCCCATTTTATGTGGCAACATTTGATCCGGCACGGAGTTTAAGAAAATAAATGAAGACTTTGAAATGTTTACCAAATTACCCTTTAAAAAGTACACTCACTTTTCTCTCTCCTCATAAATGTATTGGAGTATTATTTTAAGATTAAGTGGGACCAACAAGGGTAAAAGAGGAATTGCACCTTTAAATACTTACCATATAAGGAAAGTGACATTCTTTTTGGGACTGACCAAAAAGGAAATGTTGCCACATAAAATGGGACGGAGGGAGTAATAAATTATTTTAATACATACGCGTCTCTTTTTTTTTTCTGTAGTGTGTAAGAGGATGTAGTTTCCTATTAAATTAAAATAAATATTTGTCCTAAATAAGAAAAAAAAAAACACATAGAAAACCGTGTCTCCCCATTTTCTATATATTCTCCACTTTTACCTCTGTTTTTTCTCTCTTCAATTAATAATAATAATTTATTTCAAATAACCATAAAACACTCTAATACTCTCATAAAATTCAGCCTCGAAGAATTCTCTAATTTCTTCAAATGGGTGAGGTAATTTTCATTAGTTCTTTCTTCTAAATCCTCTAACTCTTCTTTAATTCAGTTTTAATTGTACTTAATTATGTTTTTTTTTGTTTAATTTTTTGGGTTTCAGGAAAAGGAAAAAATCAAAGTTGAGAAGAAGAAGAATGACGCCGGAAAGAAGTCGGCCGGCGGTGGGAAAAACGACGCCGGCGGCGGTATCGCTACTATTCTGTTAAAGTTAGATTTGCATTGTGAAGGTTGTGCTCAAAAAGTTAGACGTTCTGTTCGTCACTTCGAAGGTAAATTAATTAAATTAAACATTATTATGTGTTTTATAAATTAGTTAATTCGAGATCTACAGTTTATAGAACAGTAGGAGAAGGAACTATGTTTGAAATTAGCGAGATTTATCGAAAACAGTCTTTCGTATAATCTACGTCGATTCGATATTATTTTTGAATTTATTAATTTTTTTTAATGAAGGTGTGGAAGACGTGAAGGCGGATGCCAGTAGTGGAAAATTGACGGTGGAAGGGAATGTGGATCCCTTATGGCTCCGGGAGAAGGTGGAAAGCAAGACTAAGAAGAAGGTGGCGCTCCTCTCTGCTCAGCCCAAAAAAGTTGCCGCCGGCACCGGTGACGCCGGAGGAGAGAAAAAATCCGATGAGAAGGTTGAGAACAAGGCAGTAGAGGAGAAGGTTGAGAACAAAGTAGCAGAGGAGAAGAAAGGGGAAGATAAAAAGCCCAAAAAGGTAGTAATTTACTTCTCTAATGTACACTTCATAGTCATGTTCTGGAAAATTTGATTTCCCCTGTCCCTTTTGTTCATCAAAAGTCATTTGACTAATTTCAATGTTTGGAAAAAGGATAAATATACCCGAATTATTGTAAATGGTATGCAGATACGCTCCGTCATATTATTGGAACATTGATGGCCTGCCGTTTAAAAATTAGAGCATATATGCTCTAACGGATGACTAAATAGGGATACGTGGCGCAATCTTATTCGTCGATTCGATATTTAATCGGCGGATAAGAGTATGACACGTGTATGTCCTTAGTAACAGGGTATATATGTTCTAGTTTTTGGACGGCAGGGGCATCAATGTCCCAAAAGTATGACGAAAGGTATCAGCATACTATTTACGATAGTTCGGGGTATATTTGTCCTTTTTCTCCTTAATGTTTACAAAATTTGAATTTCGATGAGCGTTGAGTATTGGAGGAGTAAAATCTCACAAATTTTCCTAACTTATTTTAGGTTCAATGTAACACAGAGGTAGTTCAGCAGCATTGTGACGGATCTGCACAAAAAGTAAAGCGATTTCTTATAAAGGAATTGAAACATAAATTGAAACGTAATGTAGCTGTTGTTCCACCGAAGAAAGGTGATGGATCAGGTAACCGGTGTGATAACAAGAAGAACAAAGAAATTGCTCGTGGTCGTGGTAGTGGTGGTGGTGGTGATGGAAAAAAGAAAGACGGTGCATCATCGTCTACAATGGCAAGTAAAAGCACAGAACCAAAAGAGCAAAACACAGAGGTGATGAACAACAAAAAGGAATGTCACCATGGTGATTACAGTAATCCAAATATGTACTACACAATGCCACCATCAATTTACAATCAAAATCATGTGAATCAAGATTATGGCGCAACAATGCAGGATCATCATGGTTATTATGGTCATAGTGTTGGCTATATGCCACCACCACCATACCTAACTGCATCGCGCGATCATGGTTATGGATATAGAACTGGATATGTGTCACCACGACACTTTACTGCACCGCGTGATCACGATCATGATCATGGTTATGGTCATATTGGGTATGTACCACCACCATACTCTGCACCTCAATATTTCAGCGATGAAAATCCTAATGCTTGCTCCGTCATGTGACATACAATACCTTGTTGAAGGGAAGATCAGTTTAGCTTAAATGAAAAATACAACACTTATATATAGCGTTCGTATACGAAAAATAGTATGTACGATATCATAGTTTTTGTTTAGGAAATTACAAGTTTAGAGAGTTTTTGAGGTTTACTTGATTTCAATTTTTCAGTTTCATGTTTTCTTTTTTTCCTTTGTGGCAATTGCATTCATTGGTTTATTTGATCGTTTATGCTTCCTTCCTCTCAAAATAAGTATCGTCCTGATAAAAATTAGGTTATGTCCACTATAAAATTAACAAAATACAATGTGTAGTTTATCGAATTATCTTTGTTTAATGAATGTCTTTTTAACTTGTAGTACATAATTAAGGAGTATAAGGGTGTGATTGGAAAGGCATATTAGTTTTTGTCTTGAATACTTGTTTTGAGATCATTTTATTTTGTTAAGTTGATAGTATTTATTTTAGAGCGGAGAGATTAATACAATTGGTTTTTTTTTGCAATTTAATTAGTGATAGTTTTGGATTAATAGTCTTCACTTACAAGTTTCTAAATATAAAACATGATATTTAAGTCGATTAGTTAGGTAAATTGTGTTTTAAATTGAAACATCACTATCCAAAATAGTTCAGTTTTAACTTCTTCAGCTATCAGAATTAAAGTGAAACAGTATACAAAGCTATTTTTAAAAAAATTCGATTTAGTATTAAAGCTCGACTAATTGAAATTGAGGGAAAGTGCTTTTATCAAAGATTTTTTATCTCCAAGGCCAAAACCTCTAAGAAAAAAAATAATGTTGCATATCTTTTGTTTATCATTGATGGAGTCAGGATTAAGAGTTTGAGGTTCTAAATTTTTCTTAAAATGATAGTGGGATCTGAACATACAACTCCTTATTGTGGAAAGTATTTTCACAACTTTTTTTATCACTAAGTTATTAATCAATTATATTACGGATTCACAAGTTAATATATACATATAATTTTAATTTCTAGTATAAATATAAGATCTACACAAAAATTATTGGGTTTGTCTAAATTCACGAACTCTGCTCAGCCTTCTATTAGTAAAAAGAACATATCTCCCATCAACTCGGACACGACACGTTTCCTATGACTATCCCATAAATGTGACAAGTGTTGGAAGTAGGCTAAGTCAAGGACACATGTCCAACAACTTTGACATGTGGAAATTACCAATGAGTCAATGGCACTCTAATAACATTGTGAAAATATAGTATTCCCTCCGTTTAAAAAATAATGACCTAGTTTGACTTGGAATGAAGTTTAAGAAATAAAGAAGACTTTTTAATTTCATGGTTCCAAATTAAAGTTATGTCAAATATACTAAAATGTCTTTTATTCTTGTGGCCTTAAACATGTCATGTGGACAGTTAAAATTAAAGTGTTACTGAAAAAGGAAAAGGATCATTCTTTTTTAAACAGATTAAAAAAAAAACTAAATCATTCTTTTTAAAACGAAAATAGTACTGTGATTTACTGTAATATGCATGGTCTTGTCACCATCCACACAAAGCCAAGTTTAAAAAACATCCATCATATAACTCTATTATTTTCTACTCATATAAAAAATATAACACGTACATGTAATTGCATGTTGATATTTTTTTCATTTGATATTTAAAACTCATTGAAAATTTGGTTAGATTGAAATCATAATTTTTTTTTTTATATATTTAAAACTCAAATTCGAAACATCTGAAACCACACGACCCATGTTATATGTAATTGCATGTTCATTTTAGCACACGAGTCATTCATTTGACTTTGCTTCAAAGATTTACCATTTCTGGCTGCACGTGTTTTCTTGCTTTTTCTTCAAGAGTTTCCCAATCCATTCACCACACGACCTAGATTTTTGTCTTCTTGCAATTTGAGTAAGAAATCGTTTAAATGTAAAAGTAAAATATCTAATTAAAAAAATATAAAAGAACAAAAGATTAGAAAATTATTACCCCTCAATCGAGTTTTAGCATATATATATAAATATTAACAAGACATAGGAAACAAACCACATATAATGAATAGATCACTTAAAAATGTCACAGTGAAATTAATAATCTGAAGAATAAGAAAAGTATGAGAGTGTAAAATTTCTTTATATTGTGATTTGTGTATGAGTAAAATCATTTCATATAATGTAGTATTTTTTTAATTTTAGAAACACTTGTGCCAATTGCTTATGCTTTGTGTTTAAAAAATTAGTTTCTGTTTGACTGAATAAAGCACAAAAAAATATATAGTAGCTACATGATTGTTAGAAATAGACGCATTTCTATTAACCATCATAATTAATATATAATTTTATATTATTATATCAGCTTAATTCACATGTTATGACATGTAATTTACTTTAGTTTCAAAATTATAAATTTTATATTTAAAATCTTTGGCTTAAAAATATATGGTATATATTTTGGTAATTTGATAGCGCATTTTTTTTTGTTTTTTTGATTTCTCACCTGGTGTCAATCCACATTAGAATTTGATTAAATTCGGATTCCACATTGGGGTAATCAAGCGCTCCCTAACAAAGACGACTCGAACCCGAGACCTCTGATTAAGGATAAAGGAGTTAGGCGTACTTACCAGTACTCTACTACAACCCTTATATTTATATACAATTGTATATTACTCTACCACAACTCTTGTATTTACATACGACTTGTATATAAAACTTTAAAATTTCAAACGTATGCAAAGTTTTTAAATATCTCTTTGATGTGTCACTACCAAACCGGCCAAAATTGTTATGAGAGTGAAATTTGAGGTGCAAGTATATCTATCAAGTGGTTTCAAAATTCAACACGATAAGTAGGTGCATTTGTGAGGTACAAAATGAATTTGTATTTATTTGTTAGCTCCAACAACACTAAAATTATTTAGTTATTCGATCATGATGCGTAGCAATATTGGGAAAAAAATAAATAAACACAAAGAGGGATTAAATAGTGTGAAATCATAAATGATGTGCGCGCTACAACAAAAATAGTTTTCAGTGGTAATAAATATACACATTCATAAAAATACTAAAACTTTTACCCACATTAGTTAATTGTCATTGGATTCAATCTCACTATAGGCTTAAGAGACATTTATAAAGAGTTTTTATTGCCACCGAAAAAAACATATTCAACGATAATTAAACTATTGATAACAATTAATTATCGCTAAAGATCATTTTTTATATAGTGTGCTTTAAAATAGGATGCTTGCAAAAAATATTACGTGAAGTCATCAATACCGTTATAATATGATTAATTTTCCCGTTTGCAATAATAAGTTATTGAATATTAAAGAAACATATGATGGCAATAAGTCAATAATTTATATATAAATTAGTGTGCATGATTGTGTGGTGTGTCTCAAGCTCGGGGTGAACTATGTGTTCAATTTGTTATTTGATATTTATTTTAGGATCGTATTAATTTAGATTTACATTATAAAAATTTCTTATCGGCAAATTTGGGGTTAATGTGCTATTTATCTAAGACAATTTCATAGTATTAGGGTTCAAATTCAAGATTTTTTATTAAATGGATATATAATTTGAAAATATTCAATAAATTTGGTTTAAACACCATATTTATCTTTAAATTTAAATTATTTATATTAATTTAGAATCCAATAACGACAAATTCATAGTGCAGTATACAGGGTTCAAGTGAACCTAGTAACATGTACATAGACCTAATATGCACTAATAAATTTATTAAATATTTACAAATGTTAAATCATTATGAACCCAATTATTCTGGTATATTAACTTGATATTACTTTCAGAATTCATAAACTTTAAATTTTATATTCATCATTTTAACCGAATAACGAATAAAAACATTTGTAAATTTAAATTCAACGTGAATCACCTAATATATGTTGGTTAGGTTTCATGATAGATGTATTTATTTAAATTAAACAACTACTCCGAGTGTTTTGTTAGGTTTCATAATTATATTGTAAATTCATTTCCTCGTATCTTTGTCACTTACACGTCGATTAACGTTATCCAAACAAATTGTTACAACTTTAATTTTATCAATGATCTGAAACTATATATAACTATATAACTATATATATATAATATTTTTTTTTTGGATTAAATACGTGTGTGGCAATGACTCATGGAGGTTATGACTTGACTATTGTCTTCTTCTAAAAATCTATAAAATAATGCACATTATTAGTTATTATTCCAGAATCGAAGGAAAAACACACTACAAAGTATTTAAATTTGTTAGTATGATTTTGATTTGAAATGAAATTTTAAAAAAGTAAATAAATTTTTTAAGTTTTGTATGTTGTTGTAGCTGTATTAAATTTGTATGAGTATTGTATAGAAGTTGTATACAATGTTGTTGAGGTAGTATTATTTTTTTAGAAATCAACACAAACTTTTTACATATTTTATACAATATACTTTATATATACATGAAATTTGGGTTTCTCGAGAAACTTAAAATGAACTTTATAGTTTATACAATACTTATACAGTTGTATACATATTTCATATTGAGCGTTTTTATAAAAGAAATTGAGGATATGAGATCTCTTGTCTTCTTACAATTTGAATAGGGAAAAGGGACGGATTTACCCCCGAACTTTAATAAATGGTACGTATATGCCCTCCGTTATACTTTGCGTCCACATATGCCCCTTCCGTCCAATTATAGGTACACATATACCCCTCTCACTAACGGACCCCTAATTGCTTACACGTGTCTTAATATTCCTATTGAACTACCCGTTTGACCCTTTTTTTTAACCCATAACCCAACTATCCGCCCCATAACCAATACCCACCCAATTTCCTCTAAAAGGAATCCTAATTAAAACACCCAAATTAACAC